ATGATCAATCTTCCTCCTCCACCTCCGACCTTGATGAAGAATCAATCAAATTAATCAACAAGGTGGAGAAGATGATCCAAAAGCTCAATGTCAAGGGTGTGCCCATCCAAATTCAAGATCTCATTTTTACCAATCAAAGAAATGAGCAAAGAAAGAGAGGATGCTATGGATGTGGCAAGTTAGGGCACTTTGTGGAAGTTTGTCCAAACAAGCAAACACCCAAGACAAAGAAGAAGGCGTGCAAGAACCAAGCCCTCACATCAATAAGATCATGGGATAATTCTTCAAGTGAAGAAGAACACCATCACAAGAGGCGAGGTCGCAAGCACTCATCATCAAGCTCTTCTCATGTGTGCCTTATGGCACGAGGTAACAAAAGCTCATCCTCTAGTGAGAGTGATAGTGATGATGATATGCCTTCTTATGATAAAATTGTGCAACAAATCTTAATTATGCTAAAGTTTGCACTAGTCAACAAAAGAAGCTCAAAAATTTAAAAGAAAAGCTAGATAGTTCACAAGAAACTTATAAAACTTTGCTTGAATAATATGAGAACTTTGCTAATCTCAATGTTGAACTATCTATTAAAATTGAGCAACTTAAGGCTAGTGCAACAACAAATGCATGCACAATCAATGATGAGCAACTTATAAAGAAAAATGAAAAATTAAAAGAAAAGTTAGCTAGCTCACAAGATGCTTATAAAAGTTTACTTACAAAAATGGGAACCATGTGCAAACATTGTGATGAGCTAACTAATAAAGTTGCTAATTTTGAAGCCGTTAATACAACTCCCACCAAGGCATCTAAAAAGAAAAGTTCTATCTTTAACATGTCTGAAAAGGATGCCTCTACTTCTTGTAATGATTTATGTTTAGACTCACCTTTGTGCAACCAAGTTTGTGTTGAGAAAGTTGTTGTAGATACATGCACACAAAAGGTTGCAAAGGAGAATGAGCAACTCAAGCAAGAAGTAGCTCGCCTCACTAAAGACTTGGCTCAAGTGAAAGGCAAGACAAAGCAAGCCCAACTTCATCAAGATAACACCGTCAAGGGAGTGAAGAAGCTTAATGAAGGACAAACTATGGTTTGCTACGTGTGCCATAAGGAAGGTCACAAGTCCTATGAGTGCAAGGTGAAGAATGAGGGAGGAGCAAAGAAGAAAGAGAAGAAGCAAAGAAGCAAGCTCTCCAACACCTACACCAACAAGGTGGACAAGAAGGCCTCCACACCATACTTGTTAAAGAAGAAGAAAAATGATAAGGTTGTGGCCATCAAGGTGAACAAATAAGCCAACAATGGGGTCAATCGCTTTTGAGTGCCAAAGGAAATCATTTTCAATATGAAGATCACCAAGAAAGTTTGGATCCCAAAATAGAAGTAAGAAGTCCAATGGACGACGAGAAATTTAGAGACTTGGCAAAGTATGGATGCATTTCATGGGGTGCATCATGATGGACAAAGACATTGCCAAGTGGGTTAGTGAATACTATGGACCCAAATTCCCCTTCCCATGTTAGGTAACTAGATTCAATTTACTTCAATTGGTATTAGATTTAAATTTTCCTACAATTGGTATCATTTAGCATCTAGTTACTCTTCATGCCTAGGTTTGCATTTGAATTCTTATATCTTTTGTCATGCATACACTAGGTATATCATATGGTAGGCTTGCTCGGTTTCATTCTTAACCCTTGTAGCAAACCTACATGGTTTAAAATTAGGAGCACGGCACATGCTTGTCCTTCAATTGTTCATCTAATATGTGCCAAAGTCCAAATTATAGATAAGTTTTCCCGAATATCATCTTCGAAAGTGATTCTCACATTCATGAGATGTCATCTTTCAAGTGGTATTATTGATTCTAAAACCAATGTGCATGACTTCTACAAGTATCCCATACTTGTGTGCACAAATTTAGGGAGAGATTACTCTACAAGTTGGATGCTTTGAGACTAACATCTTTTTCAAGCTTATCATGTGTGTAGTAGTCTCATTGCAAGGAAAATAGAGTCCTCGGAGTTAAGCATCATAATTCAAGTATACACCACCTATTGCAAGTGGTAGAAATCAAATTGATTTCCACATGTGGTATTTCTAAATCGATATCATCATGTTGATTTTATTTTGATATTTATATGCTTTCTCCATGCATTATATAGATTAAATTTTCTTAGGCAATAATTTGCCAAATATGCATATGCCTTGCTTTCTACCATATGTATGCATATATTTAGGGGGAGCTTAATCTATATAATGTGAGAGTCAAATTTTGTGACCTATTCCACTCTACACATAAAGGATCACAAAGTTTGACCCTCCATTGTGCTACTAATGTCTTCCTTTTTGGTGTTTGATTCCAAAGGAGGAGAATTTAGAGGACCATAAGCAAGCATTAATTTGTAGTAATGGTCCGAGAAAGGGAGGATAGTGGATTATGGATTAGCCTATGTAATGGGGAGAATTTGTAGGAAGCAATGCTTAAATCCATAATACCACATGGGGGCATTTGCAAGGGCAAGATAAGTTTTTATATAGTCTTACAAGTAGTATCTTTTAGCATTATATAATCTTGCCCCTTGCATTGCATCCTAGCAAGTAGGTAGTTTTTAAATTTCAAAATTTTATTATTTGTTTGCTTTGGTCGTGTTGTCATTAATCACCAAAAAGGGGGAGATTGTAAGAAAAATAGACCCTAGGCCCATTTACTTTGGATTTTGGTGCTCGATGACCAACACAATCAAATTGGACTAATAAATTTGCAAGTGATTGTTTTATTAGTTCAATAGGATGCAAGACGTGACTTGAACAAAGGCGACGTGATGATCCGATGATCAACACCTCAAGCAAGACCTTAGGAGCACAAGAGAAGACCCAAGATATCAAGCAAAGTCCAAGCATGAAGATAGGAACCAAGCCGCACGCAAGATCGCGAAGAAACGAGCTCACAACGGCGACCAGACGTTGGACCGGACGCTGACGAAAAGCGACCGGACGCTCCGATCAGAGGCTCGGCAACAACAACAGCGACCGGATGCTGGACTGGACGCTGGCGGCAAACCGACCGGACGCAGGACAGCAGCGTCTGATCGAGTATAGAGAGGTTCCAGAGCGGCGAACTTGCGACCGGACGCGTCCGGTGGCAAGTGACCGGACGCTGGCAGCGTCCGATCATTTGTTCGCGGCTCCAACGGTCGAGACGATCGGACGCGTCCGGTCAGTAGCAGAAAAGCGGGATTTCGTCCCCAATGGCTACTTTCTCAGTGGGGCTTATAAATACAACCCCCAACCGGCCAAATGAGGAGAGTTAAGCTGAGGAAACATACCAAGGGTGTTGATACACTATTTTAGTAATCTCCACTTGTATAGTGCTTAGTGATTCATCAGGTGATTAGCGTAGTTGCTTTGCGAAGTGCTTAGGTTGATTAGACCACCGCTTATGTGTTTGCTCTAGGTTTAGGCTTAGTGTTTAGTGAGGTTTGCATACCTCTTACCACTCGGTGCTTGCGAGCACCATTGTTGTACATCGGAGGGGCTTGAAGTCTTGCGAGATCACACCAACCGTATTTATGATGTGGCCGCCACCGTGTACCGGAGGGAACAAGGCCCGCGGCGTTTCGGCCGGAAGCTTGATAGTGAAGACGGCGGGGAACATCCGGGAGAGGCTTGCTGGAAGGCACGTCGAAGACCCACTTGCGCGTGGGGAAGGTCCGAGGCTATCCACGGAGTTACCCGACCGGGAGCTTGGCCCTTGCGAGGGATTCCTTGCGAGGGGCTCCAACGAGGACTAGGGGGAAGCTTGCGCGCTTCTCGATACCTCGGTAAAAATACCGGAGTCGTCGACGGGAGTTTGCATATCTCTACCTTGCTCTTTAGCTTCCGTATTTACATTGATTGTATTATTTTTTTTTGCGGTAGAGATAGCAACACACTAGCAAAACTGTAGTTGCACATTTAGATAGTTTATCATTTGCATAGATTTTGCTAAGGTTAGAAAAAGAGGCCATAGTTTAGAGTTAGAATTTTAAGTTGTCTAATTCAACCCCCTTCTTAGGCGTCACGGTGCACTTCAGTAGGTCTGAACTCTGAAGTTGAGAGAGTAATGGATAACTAATGCAGTGGCACAAGCAGTAAAAGTTCATAGTTTTTTCTATAAAAAATCTGATTTTCAGAAGTAGTGGATTCAGAAGTCCAATTACTTATCTTCAGAAATAAAACTTGATTTAGTGGACTTGAACATGTGTGCTCTATAGTTTCCTCGAGATACTTCATTTGCTTTCCCAGCTTCCTAATTCGTGTCAAGATTTGTCATGCAGCCTGCAACTACATAGGGATGATGTCTGTTTAAAATCTAATCCAATATCAGCATAAGATTGAAGGTAATGTGCTAGTCTGAAACTGTCAGGGATGGTCACCAACTCATTAGGAGATTGGGCAGTAACTGACAAAACACTGCTGGCAATGCAGGGATAGTTTGACATTGTTTTATTTTCTATGATTTGGCAATGCAGAGATCATAAGAAGCATAGATAAAAAGCAACTTGAGCTCGTGCTAGATTTTTCAGCGATGATGATGATGCTATCCTGATTTTCAGTAGTACAGAGGAGCACAAGCACATAACCTTATTAGTTAGTGCCTGCAACGTTGTAGTATTATTCTGCTACTTTTTAGGATTAGTTTGTTGAGTACAAAATGTATGAGTCTCTGATCGTTAAGCTACGTGGAAAGTCATTGTGAAATTAGCTTCTCCTTTGTTTCATTGTCTATGCACGGAAAATATTTGGCTCATGGAATCTTATGTTTCTGTATTGGCATTTTTTTCTCTATATGTAAATACATATCACTTATTGATTCCATTAAGACAGTATCAGTTAACAAAATGTAAGGTCTCTCGTATATCTTTACAGTACATGCCTATTTAATATTCATTCCAAGTGATGGTTCTGTTATCATTGCCAATTTCTCCATCCCTTACCCTAAGCATGCTTGATCCAAGTACATGCAGGACCCTAAGGATTTATCCCCTCGATTCACTGACAAGATGAGAGGTCAGTTGGCTATAGTTTTTATATTAATGTTTGTTTGCTCTGCTTATTTAGGTTTTGGATTCAACTATATTTGCATTCCAGCCGTAGACATCAGTGGACATTGAACCAAAGAGAATTAAGCTGAGGTCAAGCAGTTATACTTGCAATACTATGCTTGACACTGACAGCTGCAACAGTGCAGGTATTGGAGCAATACTAATGTTTGTTTCCTGTCTCTGATAAGATTTAGCCTCATGTTTTCTACTAAAAAGCAACATGCTTATATTCTCAAAAGAATTTCACCAAGAAACAGCCATACGGATGGCTTGAACGACGCGAGTATGCAGTAAAGCCGCATGGTTTCTCCATTTTGTAGCTGATTACACTTTTCATAATTTTAACATTATATATGACCTTTGTTCCTAAATAATTGCTCTTTCAGAATGCATCGAATTAAACAGTAGCTGGTTAACTACGCTCTTGCTGATTTGGTTAGTTCATTTTGTACTTTTGTTTTTTTTTTCAGGTGCAGCACTAATATGGAAATAGTATCTGAAACAGTGATGCCATCTTCAATGGTGATTTGTGCCATGGTTTCAAGGGTCGCTGCCCTCCTACCTCCTAATCCAAAGGTCCCAACTTGATCTTGGCAACCTTGGCACTTTGGTTCTTCCTCCATGTGCACTCCACTATTTTTTCAAGAGTAAAAGCTCTTCCTAATTACATTTCAAGATCCCCAAATATTGAGATATAGCTGCAATACTAAATTATGGGTCACTATATATTTGTCCTCTTAAGGTAAACCCTCTCTCTTCTTGCAATTGGATCTTTTGTACTGTATATTTGTCCTAAACATTAAATCCAGACTGGTTAGCATGTTAGTGACCCGCGTTGGACCTTATAAGGCACCATCGAAATTATAGAAGTATTTTAGTATTGCTCAGCATTGATTTTGTTAGTATTTGTTATAGATCATACATTTCCTTAGCATTTGTAGAGGAATTGGTTTTGATAAAAAAAAATAACAGATATGATGCTTATAGGTCATTTCACAATTCTTCGGATGAATTTTAGCAGGTCTTGTTTCAAATCTGTTGCACAAGCCCTCCCTACATATGTGATGAGCGTGTTCAAACTTCCACTAACTTTGTGTGATGATCTGATGAAGCACATATGGGTCTTCTGGTGGGGAGCTGAAAATGGCAAGTGGAAGATTCAGTCGAAACCATGGGAACAAATGATACTTCCTAAGAGCTCTGGAGCTTTGGGTTTCAAGGATTTAAGACTTTTCAATCAGGCTTTACTTGCTAGACAGGTATGGAGGCTGGTGGCCTTCCCAGATAGTCTCTGTGCGCGTCTTTTGAAAGCTAAATATTTCTCTCATGTAACTTGCTTGATAATGTTCCAGCATCTGAAAGATCCCAAACATGGAGACGAATTGGATATGGCTTGGAGATAAACATGGTGTGGTGTATAAAATTGGTGACGGGAGAAGTACAAGGATATGGAGGGACAACTTGATTCCTCAGGGACAACCTGAGACCAATAGGTAGTACCCGTGTTTGCCGTCTTCGATGGGTGCATCAGTTAAACGATTCTCAATGAGTGATTGAAAGTGTTCCCAACTAAAGAAATAGTGCAATGAAGTGGCAAATACTTTAGCTTCTTTAGTTAGACGTCGTAAACATTCTGCGGCTTGGCAAGGACAAGTGTCTGCGTGTGCTCTGTCCTTCCATCATCCCGATTGTAATTCGTCGATAGCTAGCTAATAAAGCTTCTCTCTCTGCTCGAAAAAAAACTCTTCGGATGAAATTGTAGCGAGAAGATTTGCGATGTTACTGAAATTTGAAGATCAAGCATCCTGGTGAAAGACAACAAGACTGCATTGCGTGGCATTATGAGACCGGTGGAAGTTCAACGTCTGTCGCTTCTCCCATGCCCAAGAGATGTGCTGCTGTCTCTTGAGTTTGAGGCCTTGATCACAACAATTGATGTTTTACAACATATATGTTATCTGGTGAATATCTTTTTCCATTGCAACGCACGGGCATCATGTTGCCCTCATTCACATGCCCTTTCTAGAGGTGTGTGTCGTGACTTAACCACATCACGAAAAGGTCTATACAGTAGAGTTTATGAGCCTGCGACGCCGCGCTCTTCGTGACTGTGTTAATTTCACGAACTTTGTTTTTTGGATTAAATGTCACTTTAATGTTGGTATTTAATTTTTACAGTATTATTATCTTATCGTGCGATCCATGCGTTTTTAGTATAAAATGTTAGCTATCACGTAGCAATGCACGGGCACACAAGTATAAATAAAACTCAAAAAGAAAAGCTACGTACAAAGATGAGGTAGGGAGCAGGCGCCGCTTAGGACTTAGTGATTATTTTAGTTTAAAACTTAAAACTATTTTGGTTGTCTAATTTTTCTTGTATATTATATAATTATGTGTCCTATTTTACATAGCTTTGTTAGGGCACTAACAATACTAAAAAAATATAGATAATTTCTATGTCTATTAATTTATATACATAGTATACATAGAAACTACTCCCTCCATGTCACAAAGAATATAGAACCATGTAGTTTCGAATGACCTTACTACTAGCATGGCGTTTTGGCTCCATAAAATTCCTGGCTCCGCCACGCCACCGGGGGCGGCGATTCTTGAGCCGGGCAAAGCAAAAACGAGAGGGGCAAGAGTGCCTAGAGAGAGAGCAGGGCGTGCCTCGTGGGGTTGGTTCCTCACCGGCTCGCGGCGGATCCGGTCGTGGTGCCAATGCCGGCAGAGATAGGGAGGCGGCGGCTGTAGCGAGAAGGTCACCGGATACACGAAATATACGGGGAACAAGAGAGATGCGGCGGGCCTGTGGTTGTTGCAGGGACTGGCATCGACGTCCGACTCCTGGCTTGGCGTGCGCGCACGGGTCCACGTACTCGGGTTCGTCTCGGCGGCCGCTTGCTGGATTGGGACGAAGAGCGGAGAGGGGATGGGGATGACGGGCGTTGGCCTGCTGCTGGCCCGCGGGAGAGCGGCGGTGGCTGGCTGGGCCAAGCAGGCCTAAAGACCAGGGCGGGCCGAACAGCAAGAAAGAAAAGGAGAGAAAAGAGATTTTTTTTATTTAAGACAGGGGTTTTAACACTTTCCAAACCATTTAAGTTTAAAAACTCTCAAACTTTTACAAATTTATTTTGAAAATATTTTTTAAAATCTGTTATGGATTCTGTTCCTTTTAACCATACTAAGAAAACCTTTTAGACTCTATTTAAATAATTATTTTTAAACTTTTTTCTATCCAATTTTGAAAGTCAAACCAAACTATTTTGAAACCAGTTATGAAACATACCTTTTGAAGTTTTCTTTAAATCAAATAAAACCTATTTGTATCTTAACCAAATTTTAGCATGCACACAATAAATCTAATGCAAAGGTATGAATGTAGGCACACAAATTTCATTTATTTTAAATTTTAGGGTACGTTTGGCAACCTTAAACGTTCTCGATTCTAGGCTGGAACCAAAGAATTGGTGCGAAACGGTAAAATCATGGTTAGAAATGTTTCTGGATTTGTAGTGATTCTCTCTCGTTTTTCTTGCCTCTCATGTGTGCTAGTAATTGTATTTCTTCAGTTATAATCCGCTTTTAGTGCAACAAGTTAAAATGGGTTATTGAAGTTGTTCTTCTCTCGCATTTTTTTTGAAAATTTTAAACATATTTTTATTTATATGAACTTTTAAGAAAAAAAAATTATGAATCAGAATCAAGGCTACTAGCCAAACGGTTTTATGAAGTGATTCTGATTCATCAATTGAAATATTTCTTGAGAGAGTCTGGATTCGAAATGTTACTACGAGAATCCAAATCCGTACCGAACACACCCATAATAAATCACTTTTTCATTCTCTAAATTGGTAACAAACTAAATAAATATTGAAAAAATTGAGAAAATATTAAAATTATTTTTTTATTTAGTAATTTCTAGTCCCATCTCAAAATAGATAATGGAGGAGGGGTTGACATCTACGAATAAAAAGCCTAATCGATTTAGATCGTGATCACGACACGAGATCATGAAAATCTTCTCTATATATACCATATATCGGCCACCACCAGAAACACACCTGTTCGAGCTAGGGTTTTGTCTCTTTTCTGCTGCCGTGCTGCCATCATATATAGTCTCTATCGGGTTCATAAACCCGGGGTCCCTCATGTACCGGCTTCCCAGCAAAGGCTCGGCCCAACAGACGACGTTGCGAACAACGAGCAAACTCCTGGGCCAGCCCCCAACAACTACAACAACAGGCCAGAAGGGCGATGCAATCTCCGACCGGAAGGCCTCGCAAAGGAGGAACAACGCTCGCTTCTGACTCTGGCCTGCCACTCCGACCGGAAGGCCTGGCCAAAGAGGAATAGCGCTCGTTTCTAACTCCGGCCCGCCTCTCCGATCGGAAGGCCTGGCCAAACACCGCTTCCGAACTCCGAACCGTGTCTCCGACCGAGGATGCACCAAACCCCTACTTACAGCTCTTCTCCGACTGGCGCAGTTGGAGCCAACTAGGATCAACCAACCGGGGACGCCCTCTCGATGAGGACTAGGAAACGGACGAAGCAAGTAAGGCAGGGCACTCAAGTCAACCGCAAAACCGAGGACCGTACCCTGTACACCTACAGGACAGTACCAATAGGACATGTAAGAAGAGTGCCCTACAACCTTCCAGGCATGTCAGAACCCAAGCAGTGTTGTGGACGCCAACATTTGCCCTACAATGTTGTGGGCGCCCGCAAAACTCCAATACCAGACGAACACGGTAAAACCCCTTGCATGTCTCTGGGCATCAACAGTATGGCAGGCATCGATGTCTGCCATGCCAGAAGAAGACGATGCAACCTCCCACATGCATCTGACATTAACAGTGTTATGGGTGCCTACAATCATCTTGTACCCGATGGCATGGGCAACAAGACTTAGCATATGTACACACTCTCTCTCTCTCTCTTGTAAAGCCATCCCCTTCATCTATAAAAGGGGATGAGCTCTCTCCCAAAGGGGAAAATTAGTCCACAAAAACTCGAACAACACACACAACAGGAGAACCACTAGGTTCAAACCTCAATCACACACTCAAACACTTAGCACATAGTGGAGCTCCCGTTACTCTCGGCCCTTCAGACCAGAGTTCGACCGGACCTCTTGTACCCCCCATCTTTCTCCCTTCCATTTGTAACCCCACAGCAAACTTCGAGCACCTAGGCTCAGGAATAAAGTCATCGACTAACTCAAACTGGACGTAGGGCACGTTGCCTGAACTAGAATAAACCCTGTGTCATTGAGTGCTAGGCCACATCTGATCACAACGGACGGCAAAACTACAAATATTTATGTGTTGGTCACTTTCTGCACCGATAGTTGGCGCCGTTCGTGGGGAAGACGTTATTCGCTCACACTTTTGGTCATCGGATGGCCCACTTTTCCACCACCTTCGCCATGGCGGGCTCAAGCGATACGACTCGCTTTGGCTCGCTGGAGTTTCCTGCACTCCCACCTGTTGGGATGTGGGTTCCACCCGTCTTTGAGCCATCCTAGGCCTTCCTCTTTGGAAGCCTAGACTTCATCACCGATCGGCTCGGCGTACTACACCTTCGCGAGGAGGCACCTGTTTCGACGCCCGTCGAAGGGGCGCCCTGCATCGGCTCTGGGACACACGATGACTTCAACGATGAGGCGCATGTGCTTCATTCTGAGCAAACGCTCTGCTCAAACCCCACTATGAGTAATGTACATACTGTTATTTACTCTCTCTTTACTGTCTTTCATTGATTCTCCGGAGGGACCCCGTTGTCCCTGCCACGATCGCCATGCGACCGGTTCCCCTATGGCCTCGCGTCCCCCGTGGATGCATATGCCCGGGGGCTTTGAAGGATGCTAGCGCTACCCCCTCTCACATCCGAATTCATGGGGATGGTGAGCCACGCTCCCACCTGTTTCCACGACCTCATGGATGACGATGTTGAGAGCGACGGCTCCAGCATCGGCGACGTGGCACCTAGCCACTGTCCATCCTGGGAGTGCGCTATGGCGGACGCTCTAGGACAGCCGCCGGTGCTAGCGGAGTCCCTACAGACTCACACCCCTCCGGACCCTCGCGCGGGTGCCCTCGCATGTGCCCAGGCGCATGGCGAGGAGCTACGACAAAGGCGACAGGACCAACCGCCACCTATGCCCGCACGCTCGGTGCATCATGATGCGTCCCATGCACGTAACCCGATGAGTGACGCCCGTGGTCGTGCTCGCCAGGTCTAGCGTGACATCATGGACAGGGGGAATGATCCCCCATAGTTTGCTCGGGCTAGCCAGAACATCACCGCTACGGCAATGCTTCTGCATGGCGTTCCCGAGCCCATCGACCCCTGGGAGCGGGCGGTCCACTAGAACCTCCGGACGCTGGTGGAAGCCGCCACCGTTCAACAGGCGAAAAGCTCTACATCGTGACTCTAACTTGTGGCCTCTCTCCCCACTAGGGGAGTAGGGATGCACCAGACGGATCGCT